TATATATACATATATATATATATATATATATATATATATATATATATATATATATATATATATATATATATATATATATACATATACATATATATATATATATATATATATATATATATATATATATATATATATATATATATATATATATATATATATATATATATATATATATATATATATATATATATATATATATACATATTATATATATATATATATATATTTTTGCATTTTTGTTATTTTAAATTTTTTTGTATTTTTTTTTTTTTTTAATTTTTGTCTTTTTCTCTCTGTTTTTGTAATTCTTTATTCTACAGAACGGCTCAAGAGACACAGAATCTTTTTTTACCATATGTATTATTTGATACTGTTATTTTTAAAAGACCTTCATTGTTTACTTGGATAAGTTCGTTTAAAGCACCATGGCATTTTCCTTTAACAACTGATTCAATTATTTTCATTGTATGATCTGCTCTTCAATCCGCTAGTGGTTTAAGACCAAGTTCTTTAATTAATGGCGCAGCATGGGAATTTTTTAGTGCATGGGAAATGATTCTCGCGGCTTGCTTTTGTGCTATAGTACACTTTGTGTGCTATAGCACACAAAGAATCTGAAGTGCATAAAATCGATAAATTTTGTGATCTATATGCTAACTATAGCAATTCGGCTACTTGGGTCGTATTTAATGATGCAATGTGACAACCTTTAATAGAACTTGGACCAAAACAAGTCGATCAGTTTGACTAGGGATAGTATATTAAAAAAATTTTCAATAAACCATTACAACCGCCGGCTTGTCAATGGAGATGAAGTTCGCAGACATTGGCTGCAGTATTCTGTAAGTAATGACTCTATGTATTGCTTCTGCTGCAAACTATTTACCAGTAGCACAACAGCTGCGTCATCTCTTTCTTCCAATGGTTTACATGATTGGAAAAGTCCGCAATTCTGTCAAGGCATGAGAAAAGCAGTGAACATCTAGCGAATTTTCAGTCATGGAAAGAGTTTGAGCTGCGACTGCAAAACAATAAAATGTCGAACCTTTGCGTCTTGTTAAAAAAGAAGAGCAAAATCTTGAAACGGCTAGTAGCTTTAGTTAGAGTTCTTGGTATCTAAAATCTTGCTTTTCGTGGAACACATAAGAAACTGAACACTGCTGATTACGGAAACTTTCTGAAATTTGTGGAATTTTTAGCTTTGTTTGACCCACTTTATAGATGAGTATTTTCGAAAGAATAAAGACAATGAAACACATGTACATTACCTAGGCAAAGATATACAAAATGAATTGATTCATCCTTAATCCAATGCAATCAAACAAAAAATTCTAACATTGTGACTGAAAAATTTTAACTCCTCGTGATGCTAAGTACTTTTCAATAAATATAGGTTGCACTTCTGATACTGGTCATGTTGAACAAATGACTATAATTATTCGTTTTGTGAATGTAATTTCAAATCCAGAAAATGGCATTGCAGTGCTGGTATGGCTGAAAGTGATAGCACTAAGCAGTTAGGCAAAATGTCTTTATCTATTGAAAAATTTCGCGGTTAAGGATAAAGAAATAATCTTTTCAACACAAAATATATTCATTTATTTTTAGTATTTCAAGTTATTTGATATTTTTGTCGACTGTGTGATGAATATTATTTAAACAATATATGCTGAATACTTTATATTATAATATTGTTCAATATTGAGAATGGTATATATCTATATTATAAAATATTATGCTAAAACTTGCTTAACATCTGAAGAATATTCTAACGCTTATGTAATTTTTAATATTTGTAAATTTTCTACCTTTTAATTCGTTATATAGATTGTAAAGGGCTTCATGATAAGATCATGTGATCTTCTGGAAGTCCTACCAGTAATATATTCAATGTAAATTTACCTTGTTCATATTTTTCTGGAAAAAAAAAAAAAAAAAAAAAAAGACAATCGCAGAAATATGAGGGGTAAAATAACGGTGACCAACGAAGAATTTTAGATGTCAATCCCCGAGCATTGTTTATTCCTTGCTGTGTACATACATTGAATTTGGCTGTTATTGATGCTGTTAAATGTTGCTTAGAAGCAACAGCCTTTATTGATCTGGTACAACGTGTATATGTATTCTTTTCTGCATCAACTCGTCGTATCTAATCTAACTGTTAAACCATTGAGTGAAACAAGGTGGGAAAGTCGAATTTTTTTTTTTTTGGTTTACATTTGTTAATCGTTGTACAGCTTTAAATAACCCATAATGAAAATAATAATATAAACTTACAATAATATAAAATTACAATGAATGATAACAAACATAAACAAGGTATCTGAAAGAAGATGGCAAGGATCTTGTCGTCAGAACCTTAAAAAAGTATTTAACAAAGATAAAATTAAAAAAAATCAATAAACTTTTACAAAATTGCAAGACAAACAATCTGATGAAAGATCAAGAGGATCTTCTCATCAGATTTTTATGCAAGAGTTTTTATGAAAACCAACATATAAATTAAAAAGTAAAAAGTATAAGAAAAATAAATAAAATAAGTTGGAATAAACTTCTATAAACCTAGGCACCGTATAAACAATAAAAAAGTAGACCAAAATATGTTTTTAACTTTTACTACTAATTTTAACTCAATATATTATCTAATAGAAGAATTTTTTCAGTTTTTTTTTAAAAAGACAAAAAGTAATAGGTACTTCACAATTAAAATTCGCCAAAACAATTTTATTATAAAGGTGAGGTGCTCGATAGGTAATACAAAATTGATTAAAGTTTGTTTGACAGAAAGGTTCATTTAAAAAGTTATTATTTCTCAAAATATATTTACTGACTGGTTTAAAAGAGAGAAGATCTTTGAAGACGGCTAAGGATAAGTTATTTATCCACGTATATACAAAATATAAAATATTAAAAACATTTAAGTTGTAAATATTCTATTTTGTTTCAATAAAATAATGCTTTGAATAAGAGAAGCGATTTGCAAAATTGATTATACGGATTGCGCGTTTCTGACGGAGATAAAGACGTTGCAACATACCTTTTTCTGTACTTCTTCAAGCAATATTGGCATAATTAAAATAACTATGTATAAATGAATAATCAAGTTGGATTAAGACTTTCTTATTGAGATAGATTTGTGATTTATATAGGATGCTCATGTGTTTAGAAATTTTTGTGCTTATATAATAAATATGGTGATTCCAAGTAATGTTTTCATCAAGATGAACACCTCAAAAATTTGGTTACAAAATCTCTTTTTATTTCCTTTTGATTGATAAAGATTTGAGGTAATTTTGATGGAGAAATCGCTTTTTTGTAATCGAATGAAATAAAACCCATTTTGTTTTATTAGTATTCAAGGTTAACTTATTACACTTGAACTAATTAGATATATGTCTGAGTTCTTTGTTCACAGTTTTAAAAAGTTCATCGATATCATAGTTAGAAAGGAATAAATTTGTATCATCTGCATACATAATGCATGTTAGTTTTGAAGCTTTATTTAATTCATTTATATAAATTAAAAAAGGAGAAGTCCAAGAATTGAACCTTGTGGGACTCCACAATTGATGCTTTAAAACCTCTCCGTTATCAACATGGTGATATCTACGATGCTCTGGCAAAGGTTTCGGATAACACAAATTTAACAGGACCATCTGGTAATTTAACACGGGTAGATGCACGGTTTATTGCAAACGCTATTTCTAGTTTTAAGTTTGTCGTTTCTCTGGTTGTGTGGTACGACGTGTTGTTTGAGATTAGTATGACTAGTAAGCAACTTCAGGCAAAAGAATTAGATATGGCGTCATAATCATGAAAAAACAAAGAAGTTTTTTTGTAAATTGCAGAAATGAAATGGAGTTTAAGAAAATGCTAATAGATGCAGTTGAAATTGCACTCAGTTTAGAGATACCTGCACTTTTTGAACCCGAATTAACCCGTATCAGAAGAAAAAATAAACAATTTACGTATAAAGGAGATGACGAGCCTATTCAAGATCCAAAAGAAAAATTCAAAATAAACTTTTACTTTTCCATTCTTGACACAGCAATACAACCGGTTGAAGAATAATTTACTCTTATGCAAACAATAAGTTTGTTGTTTGGTTTTCACAGTTAACAGAGTGTAACTAGCAAAGAAGTTATGTAACATTGCTTGAATCTTGAGAAAGCTTTGCAACATGGAGACTCCAAAGATATCAATGTAGTTAATCTGTGTAGTGAACTGAAATCAATTTCAAGACGAATTGCAAGGTGTACATTGCCACTAGATTTACTAAATTTTAGAACACTGTTATAGCTTTAAGAATCCTTTTAACATTTCCAGTTTCCGTGGCTAGCGGTGAGCGAAGCTTCTCAAAACTCAAACTGATAAAAATATTTTTGAGAACGTTTATGCAGCAAGAAAGACTTGCCGGATTAGCTACTTTGTCAAGTGAACATGAAACATTGACCTGACGGAACTCGTTTCTACATTTGCGAAAACAAAAGCGCGAAAAGTAAAGTTTTAAAATTATTTATTGATGTATTATAAAGTTACACGAATATAAGCTTTTTTATGATTATACATGGATGTATTCTTCCGAATGTAAATACAAAATGTAATAACATAACTTAAGAATTCCTTTGTGAAAGTAAGTTGGGGAGGGGTGTAGAGGCGCAGTGTGTCAGATTCGCCTAGGGTGCCAAATACTTTGGCGCCAACCCTGCAGTTAACGCATCAAAATAAAGCAAATACGTTTAAGAAATTAAAAGAATAAAATATAACTGTTACAAACTTTAAATAAATATATTATATGAAAAAGAGTAGATGAAAGTAAACATGAGCAGGTGGATAAATGTTTGCACAAGGAAAAAACTTTCTTTTAATTACCTGTGTAAATTATACGACAAATGATAAATTTAAAAACGGGAGCAAATATTTTTATGAAAGTAAAATTAGATTGGATTAGTCAAGTATATTTAATTAAATAATACTCTCCGGTTAAAGTTAAATACTTTTTTAAATATGTTTTTATAAAAATCTTTTAGACAAGTTGATTACTTAAGGATACTAACTTGAACAAAATATAAAATGAAAAAACAACAAACAAAAAAACAACACCAAACACCGACAAAAAATTAGCAACTTTCTTTTCTACCAATAAAAATTGTTTTAATTAATGAAAGGAAAACTTAAAGAAAATTTATTTACAAAAACATGTTTAAAAGTTGAAGAAAAAATGAAAATACTGCTATACTTTTCATTTTTCTCTTGCGGTGAGTTCAACTACTGTTGCTTTTTTTTTTTTTTTTTTTAGTTTTGCACGTTTTTACATTAGACATCAACTTCATAAAATATATTTTTAAATTATAGTGCTTACTCTGAAATGTTCGTATCAGATATTTTTATTTAAAGCAACAGTGGATGAATGCCATCCTGAACTACAGGATTCATGTGCTACAATAAATATAGGCGCAGTCTTGAGTGGATTATCTGTCAAAATTGTATATAAAGCATGCGCGAAAATTTCAATGTGTGGAGAAATATGTAATCAAACTATTGCACAAGCATCGGGATTTCTTTCAGGAATAAAGATAGCGTCATGTGACGTAAGATATTTGACTCTTAAATATATTTATTTACATAATGCAGTTGGTTTTTTTTTTTTTTTCAGTTAATACATCTTTTACTATGTCATATTTGTAAAAATCTTTGAAATTTTTATTATTGGCTAAATAATACTTTTTTTAGTATAACAGCGTAAGATTTTTGAGTTGGTATGTATATTTGCTTACTTATATATAAAAAACAATAAGTTTGAGTTAAAAGTTATTTAGTTTACTTGGTTGGTTGATTATTAGAAAAAACCTTTACTTTTTAATAAAAAACATTCTTTTAGTTTTACAAATGTCTGGATGTTTATGAGATGTATTTTAAAACCTGCGTTTTTTTTGATTGATTGCTTACTTGGTTGATTGCTTACTTGGTTGATTACTTATATAACTGATTGCTTATAAGGTTGATTTACCGTTATTGTTTAATAACTCGAAAATATTTTTGATTTTAGGCGAAATGCACAAAAGGCGATTTTAGCAACAGTGCCAGATCATTTGAAAAAAAAAATTCAATAATTCCTCTTGTAATTTTGGCGGTGTTTACTCAATTTATTTGTTTATAAAATTTTGAATAATAACTCAACTTTTTATATGAATATTATAAATATTTACAATTTAAAGTAAAACAATAAAAAGTCAAAAAAATTATTTCTCTTATGATTATTTTAGAGAGAAAGTTAAAGCTAACAGTTTAATTTTTTACTTTTATTTAAATTTAGTTTTTTTTTTTTTTTTTTAATTTGTAATAATACTTATTTTATCTTTATTAATATTTCATTTAAAATGTATACATTTTAATTAATTTAATAATATTTTCGTAGAGAGCTTGTTAATTATTTTAACGAATGGTAACCAAAGGCCCTTTTGAAGAAATTATTGAGTGAGAAGATGGTATGAAAAAAAAGTAAAAGAATCTTTCCGTTGTTAATGTTGACAAAATAACAAACAGCGTGGTGCTGATCAAGATTTCTTTGTTACGATGAGTTTTTTTAAAAAAATTAAATATATGATAAAAAAATATTATTTGGATATTTAAGAAAAGCAGCATTTTTTATTAAGCAACCGTCTCTTGCACCACGAAAAATAATAATAATAATAATTTAAAAAAAGGTTTCTGAAGATAAAAAAAATCCGAAGATAAAAAAAGGGTTCTAAAGATAAAACGTGAAACACTTGAAAAAAATTAAAGTCTCAAACTTAAATATTTTAAAAACTACTTATCTAAACTGATAAAACTCTATTTATGTTTTAATTTATTATGTTTTTACTTAAAATTTAGTGAAAAGTAAACTAAAAAAATAGCGGTTGCTATTTTTTTAGTTTACTTTTCTAAAAGTAATAAGAAATTTTTAGTTTATTTTTTCTAAAAGTAATAAGAAATTTGCATCTGCTTGTAGCTTATTGAAAATGTGTTGAAAAAATAGCGAAAGATAAAAAACAAATAAAGATCAGTTTTAAAATTATAATTGACAATTCTAAAAAAATAATTTATGTGAGATTGCAAATGTTTGCTGTATTTTAGTCTAAGTATGGTTTCTCCAATCGATAACCAAATAGCGTCACACAGCATAACCAAATAGCGTCACACAGCATAACCAAATAGCGTCACACAGCATAACCAAATAGCGTCACACAGCATAACCAAATAGCGTCACACAGCATAACCAAATAGCGTCACACAGCATAACCAAATTAATTACGAGATGAAGAGTGCATTAAAAGAAAAGTTTTTGCTTTGTTTGTGTTTAAAAGAAAATTGTTACACTTTTTTTCAATTTATTTTTATTTGTATTCAATTTTTTTTCCAAAATTTAAAAAAACTGGTTTATTTGTTGTTGAGTATTAAATAACAGATGTAATTAAAAATAATCAAAAATTTTTACTAATAACTAAATGTCTTTAATGACCTTACGAGTATTTTTATGACCTCACAAATATTATTATGTTCTCACAAACATTTTTATGAACTCGCGAATATTTTTATTGGCTCAGAAATATTTTTGAGACTACACAAATATTTTTATAATCTCACAAATACCTTTGAGACTTCACAAATATTGTTATGACCTCACAAATATTTTTGGGACTTTACAAATATTTTTATAACCTCTCCTTAAGTTGTTGTTGACAATATATTAGTAAATAACATGTTGTTTAGCGCCATTAAAAATAAGCTTACTTATGGGATCTACTGTAAATAGTTGGTATGTTTTTGATCAATTTTTAAAGTAAGTCATTTTGAATCAAATTTTATTTAAATTAAAAGTATGAAGAAATATCATAATGTAAAAACAGATCAATGTTTTGCTGCTTCTATCATAACATAAAAAAATAATTTTGGTTGATTACATCTTTGTGTTATTAAAGATTTTTTTGTGCATCTAATTAAAAAAACTAATTTTTAAACTTACGAATTTAAAATTTTCTAAATTTTAAATAATAAACTAATGATTATTAAAATATGGTCTAACAGAGTTTTTTATTTGGTTTTTATTATGTTTGTAAAATAAAGAAGTTATTTCAAAAAACCTAAAAAAAGCTAAAATATTCTTCTTAAGTCGCTCAATAACTAATAAAAATAATTATGTAAACAAATGAAAATTTATTGCATTAAGGGACAAGATAACAATAAGCGTTTACTTCAACTACCTCGGTTAGTAATTAATAAAACAATAATCTACAATAATACTCTTTCTTTAAATTTTTTTCAATTTCTATAAATGAACGCTATTTATTTCTTTTAATATGCTAATATTAATCTCTTGTAATCTAATATAAAAAGCATAAAAAATCATTTCTACCAACAAAATGCCATCAACTACAACGAAGAAGATGTTGAAAACGCGTTTATACATCGTCGAGAACAAAGAATATCATAGAGAAATTGCGCATTTAAGCTCAATGTACCAAAATCAACATAATATGACAGAAATAAAAGTAACAACACAGGTCAATATGGAAGCAGAATTCCAACAGCTTTATCAGTTGAAACTAAAAAGTTGTTGAGTCATTTTTTTGCAATCCATTAGACGATGAAATATATATTGTGACATTAAACTTACCTGAATAAAAATGTATTAAATTCATATTATGAATTATCAAAATGCTAATTTTCCAAGTTTATTAAAAATTTAAATTAAACTTGTGTTTCGCAAACACAAACCAAAACACACGCAGTCACTGTTTTCTAAAAAACAGAGTTATTTCCTTTCAATAAATCCAATATTGACCAATCAAAATCCACAATAAAAGAAACATTTAAAGATCCAATAGCATCACCTATATTACTAACTGCACATCGTTCATCTCAACGACAACATCAATGTCAAGTATTTAAGTTAAATATTACAGCAAAACACACATACAATTAAAAATAGAATTTGCAATAAAAATATTAACAAAAAAACATAAAAAAATTAAAAAAGCAATATAAGAATTGTAGGAGAAGCTTTGACTAAAGTTAAAACAATAAAGTTCGAGCAATGGATGAAAAACAAAATTAAAAAAAGGCAAAATAAACGTAACGTAGAATACGCAGAAAATGCAAATATACCACCAGTAATAGTACATTTACAGTAAAAGTACATTTTACAATTCAATGGTTAAATATGAAAACAACTTGTGTCGATTATGGCTTAAAAAAAAGTTAAATATATGTTTCCAATCAAATATAAATTAAACTTTCTGAACCCAAAATTAATTTACCCTATAAAATAAACTAAAATAACAGAGAAACAAAATAAAAATATTTTGTTTTTCTGTTTTAAAATTTCTTTCGGATAACTTTTCAGATTGAATTAAAATATATTTGCAAAATAAATAATAATTCTTAATTTAATTTGAAAAATAACTTTTTTCATCTGATTTGATTTATAATTAAAGATTTTACCTTTTTAGTTCTTATTTTATAATATTGAACATTGTTTGTAAATAAAAATCTTTTACTTTTCTTTAGAATTTATTGAAAATAATAAAATGGTGATAACTTTCTTAAAAAAATCCTTTAAAAGTTTGCAAAAGTTATGCCTTTTTAAGGAATATTTGTTTAACTATTACTACACGCACGGTTGGCCAAAGAGACCACCAGGTTTATGTCGTGTCACTCATACAAATTTTTTATTTATTTAAGAGTATTAATAGTTTACTTATAAAAAAAAGGGTTTTTAAAAATCCGAATACGGTGCAAAGGGTAAAAAAAGGCCAAGAAAAAGGCAATGCAAATGTTTCTAGCCTCATAATTTTATAAATGATTAAGATAACAAATTTTATTCTGATTAAAAATTGTATAGAAACATACACTTGAAATTTAATGGAAAGTTCTTTATTTTACATTTGAAACTAAAAATGTATATATTAAAATGATGAAATTCGACATCTTTTTGAATATCTTTTTTGCAACTTACGTAAAAGCCGACATTTAAAATACCTGGTTTTTATTAACACCAATTTTAAATTAATGACTTACAAATTTTTTAGGAGAATTTAAAATTTAAAATGTTTTTTAAATAATGAAAATAATAGCTGCTTTGTATTTTCTATTTATATTTAAACACAAATTAATAATAATAAATTAAGCAACATTTTAGGGTAAATTTTTCAATGGGAAAATAAAATCCAGGCTGCATAAAAGACTTTTTAATTGTTTTTAGTTAGATCTACACCTTTTCAAGATGTAATTGAGAAAACAAAAATTGTAATTAAGAATCGTAAGATGTAATTGAGAAAACAAAAGTTGTAATTAAGAAACGTAAGATGTAATTGAGAAAACGTAAGTTGTAATTAAGAAACATAAGATGTAATTTAGAAAACGAAAATTGTAATTAAGAATCGTAACATGTAATTGAGAAAATGTAAGTTGTAATTAAGAAATAGAAAGATGAACACGAAAATTTTAATTTAGATATCGCTTTAAAGGAGTAAGTGTAAAATGGCGCTTAAAAAAAATGGCGCTTAAAAAAATGGAGCGTATAAAATGACGCACTTAAAAATGACGCAAGATTTGTAGCGTAAATTTAATTTTTTAGGGAAAAATTTATAATTTTTGGGCAAGTGAATTTAAAATAATAAACACTAAAAACATTTTAGGGAAAAATTTATAATTCAATTAAAAATTATAATTAAAAATTATATAATTAAAAATCACTTCATTGATCATTTAAGCACCAACTTGTACGTCTTCCATATTTAAAATAGTTGCATAGTGCGTGGTTGTGTGTTGTACCGCACGTGCACAATCTCCTCCCATTATAGTATTTTTCGCCTCAATTACAATTCGTTCTAAGTACTGCATGCGCTGTTCCACAATCCCATCACCTAATACAGGTCGAATGCGAATTGCATTTTTAACGTTACTTTTAATTTTGGACCAGATCGTTTCCACCGGGTTCAACATTGGACTGTAAGGTCCCAAACGTAACAACTGAGCTGGTGAATTATCAAACACCCTTTGCAAACGAGCGTGACAAGGAGCATTATCTGTTACGACGACCAAATCCTCCAAACGATTCCCGGATGTAACCCACTGGTGAAACATAGCCAACACCCACTCGTTACAGGAATCTGCTTTAAATAATCCCCTGCGAGTTTCTATCATGACGACATTTGTAGTTGAAATAGCTGCGATCAAGTGTATGTTTAAACCTTTTGAAGCAGGTACTTTCATAATTGCTCTTTTTCCTTGTCTCGCACGTCCTTGCGTTTTTCTACAAAAAAGGTTAAAATTTGTTTCATCCAACCAAACAATCTGACGACCATTTGTGATATGTCCGTTGATGTTTCTCACATATTCAGCTCTTTTTTGTTTGTTTTCATAACTGATCATTGTATAAGGCTCCTTGTGCACTTTTTTTAATGAGAACAATCTGCCTTCGAGGTATTTTGCTAATGTTGTTGTTCTAACGTTTATGTTAAATTGTCTTAATATCTTTGTTTTGATGGCCACCAATGTTAATTGACAATCATTTTCAATCCATGTTAATGTTTCTTCGATTTGATCTTCGGTCAACTTTTTCGGTTTAAAACCTCCTTTTCCGATGAAATTTGAATTTCCGCTGCGAACCCAATTGTATGCTGTCTTATATTTGATACCTAGCGTTTGCGCGAGATTCACCCAATCTTCAAATCGCTCCGCACATTCAACAACTCTTCTCCTGTCATTTGGAGAAGATAAAACGTAACGTTTCCTTTCAACTTGTTCAGTTGTGTGTATTTCATGCCGACAAATCGGACAACTTGAATCTGGTTGTTCCAGAACTGGACGTAAACAAATTTGGTGACATAAATGTTGACACGGATTTAGCTTAATCACAGACTTTCGGGTCATAGTGTATTGGCATATAACACAACGATCTTTCAATTCCATTATTATTACTTGTGCATACAAAAGCAAAATTTAAGATTATAACTTAAATTCATGTCCAAAAAGACCTTTTGTAACAACCTACAAACTTAGACTGTGAATTTGCTATTTTAATTTATGTGTTCTCAATTACAAGTTACGATTTCTCATTTACATATTATAATTTCTCAATTATATCTTACGTTTTCTCAATTACATGTTGTGTTTCTTAATTACATGTTACGACTTCTTATTTACATGTTGTGTTTCTCAATTACATATAACGTTTTCTCAATTACATGTTGTGTTTCTTAATTACATATTACGACTTCTTAATTACAACTTTCATGTTCTCATTTACATCTTGAAAAGGTGTAGTAACTTTATATAAAAGGAAATTTGCATTAGCTTTTTTTTAAGATTTAAAACAAAGTTTTCTCAA